AAGGACATATGCAGCCCATGTCTAAATATATATAGAGAGGTGAAATGTGGGGAAAGTATTCTTTTATAATGCTGGTTCGTATTCAGACATGAATCATTAGAGAATGTATTGCCAAAAAGAGTGTGAATTTTAATTACACCAAACAATTAAAAGCACTTTTAAAAATTGAATACATACACTGTAATTAATTAGAAGGAAAACCTAAGACTTTAATACCATGCTTCCCAAAAGAGGATTTTCTTAGATTCACTAGTAGTACAGTAAAGGATTGAGATGAATGTTTGCAGTCTAATCTTCCTGGAGAGTTGTCACAGGAACTTAATCTGAAATGTTTAACCAATACCCTTTACCTCTGACTGACTTTTGAAATTAAACAGGGTTACAGTGGTTAATTTTGGATGGGGCTCCATCCAGAAATACCAGACTAGACTGAAAATACAACAGAAAGCTAGAGCTATAATGTTACTAAGAAAACCACAAAAATGTGACAAAAGTCACTGAGGCCAACTTTACATTACTATGAGTGACTATTTCAGCATTCATTTCCATAGTTGCATGAATTATGATCTGCAGTGATAAAGGACTATGCAGCATGAGGTCTCTAGAAATATTTCTCAAGAGAGTGGGAAGATATTATTCAGCTGCAATAAAGTAATATACTTGGAGTCACTATTTTAGTAGCTTTATTGTTCCTGAAGTATCCCTTCCCCCATCTTTCTTGAAGCAAAACATTGACAAAGAGAATGCTTCCTTCCTTCGTTAATTTGTTTGGTGAAGAAATTCTTATACTGTATACATCTCAATTCATATTAAAACATAGTTGATGCATGAACATTTAACAAACCAGGCTTCTGTAGATTTCGAGTAGCACCAGAATACTAACTTTGATGCATAGTAGCTCAAACTATATTGAACTGAGACATTGAAATAAAGGCTATGGAAACTGATGTGTCTTGTTCAACCTGTTTGAAGGAACCAACTTAAGAATCTGGAACGGATTAATCAGTTGATAAAAAGAATTGAACCTTTTCTCTATTTGTCTATATGAGTGAGTTAATTTTAATATAACCCTACTTACTTACTTATGACAAGTTCTCAAACCATTAATACTCATTGCTCTGCAGAACAGCCAGCTCTTACAACTTCTCCTAAAAGCTGAGAAGTTAGGGACATTTCATGTTGTAAGAAGGTTAGTTGCCAAAATACTTTTGCAGCTCTGTTCCCACCCCCTCATCTGACCTTCATCAGATCTTCACTTTAAGAATATGTGGGATGCTTGAATCTTGACCCTCAAAATTCAATTATAACTTCTAAAAATAAGACACACAGTATGGTACATGGGATCAGAAATTTGCCAGTACCTTTGTTTTATTGCATATTGCAATTAAGAATGTTCTTTCAAATTCCACTACCAAACAGGAGATAGACCATCCGATTTTCACTCTCTGTTCCTTCCTTGGACGTGTCATTCATCCAACCAGTTTATATGGTACTACGAAGGGAGTAGATGAAAACTAAGTTTATACAGTACTACCAAAGCACTACATGGACAAAATTAGGAGTGCTTATCATCCACAGCTGTTTTTCCCAAATTTTGATGTAATCGTTTGGCAATCCTGTGAGTACAATAGGTCAACATCTAGAACATTTGTTCATTTGTGAACACCCAAGACTCAAAGTCTACATAGAGACTACACATAATGCATATAGAATATATTCTTACTGAATCCCACTCATATGAATTATTCATGGTTTTCTTTTATATTATTTACTATTTCAAATTTCCACATTTCACTGTCCCATAGAAGCAACAATACATAATGGAAAAAGATGCAGCTCATCATCTCTTTTAGGACACATTACAACATCTAGTCAGGAAGAATAGAATCAGCTATACTTCTGTGGGGTCCTTGATGCTCTCTCATGTTAGTTGTTTTCTTACAGATATTTCATTACCTAAATTGACTCCATAATTCAACCTTGAGCTATGAATGTTCTCTTCTATTAGCCACATTTGTTCTAGTGGAGTTACCTTGTCACTGGAGAACCTTTTGGCCTCTCTCTGGAAAGTGAGGGGCTGCATTACAGATCCAGGCCCCTCAAATAAGGTGTACTGAAGAATGTTCAGTGAAATTTCAAAACATTCTAAGATTGGGCAAGGATTTTCCTTTCTACTCCTATGTGTTTTGCAAGAAAATAATTCCTTACAACTATAAAGTATATGTGGAAAACCCTGGTTTAAAATTCTAAAGAATCTCTGCCAGTCACTATAGTAGATAATGTTGAGTTAACCAGTGGTGGGATTTAATTTTTTTTACTACTGGTTCCATGGGTGTGGCTTGGTGGGCATGGCAGGGGAAGGATACTGCAAAATCCCCCCCCCAATCAGCTGGGACTCGGAAAGCAGAGACTAGATGGGGACAGGGCCAGTCAGGGGTGGTATTTACCGGTTCTCTATACTACTCAAAATTTTCACTACCAGTTCTCCAAAACTAATCAGAAACTGCTGAATACCACTTCTGGTTATGACATTTATTTATTGGTTTTTTTTACCATCTGACTCCAAAATAACTGAGGGCAGTTCACAAATACAAACTTAAAAAAAGAATTTAACATAGTGCCAAGTAAATAAACAAATCACTGCATGAAAACATATTCAAAAACTTCAGCCATTCCTATCCACCTTTATCCATAAATGGGAGTCTATAGATCCTTAAATACAGAGGGAACTACTTAAAAAACTGAGTGGAATTACACCATTAACACACCACTATGCAATAGGAGCTTATCCAATTGCTTAGAATGCAGTACTGCAGGCTACTTCTGCTGATTGCTGGCTGCCTGCAATTTGGCAGATTGAATTTCACCAGGCTCAAGGTTGACTCAGCCTTCTATCCTTCCGAGGTGGGCAAAATGAGGACCCAGATTGTTGGAAGCAATATGCTGACCAGTGGTGGGTTCCGGATCCCATTGCAACTGATACAGTGTAAAGGGGCCTGGCGTCCACCACATGAACGTGAGCAGTGCATGCACACACGCATGAAGTGTGCATATGTGTACTTACTGTCGCAATGCTTCACGATGTC